GTGTGTGTGTGTGTGTGTGTGTGTGTGTGCGTGTGTCCGCATGCATTTGCAATTACATTTGTGTGTGCATGGGATTGTATGCAGTGAATAACATCTATATCTGGTTTTCCAGTGTATACGTCATAGTGCTTGATTGCTGTGGGAGTATGTCTCCTGTACGTACAGTATGTGTGTGTATGCGCCCTTCATCTGTCTCTCCATCCACACTAACATCTGTCACTTGAGGTGTCTGGGTATTGTCCCCACATAACCAGTCTCTCTTCATGTGCGTTCAGCAGGTGAATGGTTAAAAAGTTGCCTTTTTTCTCAGTAATTGTAGCTAGAAGAGAGGATGACTCAGTAGGGTACATAATAACTCTGTTCTCTAGTAGGCTTACAGCTCCATTGCAGCCAGCTCAGAGCGAGCGGCTCCTACCAGCCAACAGAGATTAAACAGGCACGTTTGTGCTTTTTATGTTTCTAATTGGCCACAGTGATTAATGTGGTGACAGAGGAGCACTTTCATGTATACTAAGTAACCCAGGTGAATTACTGCAAACCAGCAACTTGGAACCACCTGCCATGTTTCCCCCTTATAGAAGTGGATGGATCCGTCCACCCACTCGATGTTACTTTGATCCTCAGAAAGGGAAAGCATGATGGAGGACAGGGTGAGAGAAAAAGGAATGAGGTGTGAGGAGCAGATGGCTGGAAGGCGGCTGTGCGTTGGCGAAACAGTAACATTGATGGAGAACACACAAGGGATGGACCTCAGTAGGGGAAACTAGCGATCATCTGTTCAGTGCTAAAGTTGCGGCTTGGTGTCGAAGTCTGGATGTTCAGGCCTGTAGGCCAAGGCTCGTGACTCCGCTGTAGCTCGGTGACTCCACAACCAAACTTTGTTTATTGATGTTCTGTTGCATTAAATACTCAAGAACTCACTGCTGCTGTACTGTAAGAGACAGTGCAGAATTATTTTTCACTGTTATTATGTTATTTTAGCATCAGTATATGCGTTGGTCAAGTTTCAGAAGTGGTGAGGCAAAATGAAGTTGGAGTGATGGTGTATGCTGCCAGAAACCCCAAAACGAAACAACACATTGGTAATTTTAAACGATACTTTGATTTATGTTTTACTAAGTGGTTTCATGGCCGAGTTACCCTGACGAGAGGCTGCCAGGCTGCAAATCAAATCATTGTGTTTACATTGGGTTTAGAAACATTAAGGTTCAATTTAGTGCCACAGTTTTGGTTTTCGGATCAGCTGACTCAAACAGAGGAGGCGGAATTTGTGTGTGTGGACTCAAGGAGTAAGAGCGATGCCTGACACATTTCAAACAATGCTATGTAATTGAGCAACAGCTCCCCCTGCAGGCACATGTGGTGGTTAATTCTGTTGGCCTCCGTGTCTGAGCAAGAAGTGGTTTTCCTGTTGAAAAATCCTGTCAGTGTTTTGCCTGGAGCTCTGCGTAGTACAACTCACTGAACTGAAACACAACTGAACAGTGGATATTACCCATGATCCCTAGAAGAGCTGCGCTTGTAACAAATACGTCAATCTCTGTTTAGAATCCCTTCATAGTTTGAAAGTTTTATCGTTGTGTATTGGAGATAGACCCTGGTGTTACGTGACTTCTGAGTGTTTTTATCTGATCTTCACTTTGGCACTTTGACTATCAGTCAGTTCCGCACTTCTCACAGGAGATCCTATCTGCTCACCAAAGTTACATAGAGCAAGAACGGACATGAGGAGCAGGAATGAAATTGGCTCCATTCTCCCCTTTACAAGTCATCAAAAATAATTTCTGCTATTTTACATTTAAAAAGTTGCACAGTGTTGTTTTGATTCCAACTTCTTATTTATAAGAGGAAGGGATAAAAACAGACTGTCCATTGGAAATTACGTCCTTGAGTATATCCTGGGTTTTTTGCTGCACTGTTTTGCCAGTCAAGCTTTCACTGCATATAAAGGCAACTCTTTGACCAGGCCACTTGTCCTGTTCACTCGTTCAGCCCTTCTAGGAAATCAAATCCTCTGATTTGATTTCAGTTGGAGTGTCAATTCGAGTTACGCTGATGAGCACAAGCTAACACAGAAATGAGCTGCCCAGGAAAATAAATATCTGAAATTCCTGTTAAATCATACAGCTCTGCTCAAGCCCCCGGCTCTCCAACAGAACCAGGTTGAATTGACATTGTTAGAAAGTCGAGTCCAGAAATGAGTCATGAGAGGTGGCTGTGTGCGGAGTCCATTTAAACAGTCCTGTATTAGAGGAAGGGTTGTAAAGCAGCTTGGCCAAAAGTCACAGTCATGGTATTAGAATAATGAAGGAGTTTGCAGGGCCAGGCGATACACTACTCCAACTGTCTCGTAACAAGATTGCATCACAAATGTCAGTGATCGCCGTTTCTGGCCTGCTCTCAGTTTTCAGACTTTGAGCGAGAGGAGCTGTTTGTGGCGGGAGAAGAGAGCCCTGTCCCACTTGTTCTTGTACATAAATTGACGTGTCATGTAGGACTGGTATTGATGCGCTGGAGTCAGTAAAGCAGTATCCTTGCAAAAGCTGCCAGGGGCGGTTAGAGCTAATGCGGCGATTTAGGTGAATTTGGAAGTTTCCATTATCAGTGATGTGTATGTGCACATTTTTCTAATGTGCCGTGGCCCAGTGCTCGTCAGCTGTAGCTGGATTAGTCCATTGTATGGAACATCATCTCATGTACACTTCCGCCCATTGTGACAATAACTGTATCCCTGCCATTGACCATTTTTGTGCACCAGCGCTTTTTGTGACATTCTCAAGCCAACCTATATTTGCTGCAGTATGATTTCATGTCATGCAGTATAGCTGTTGAATAAATGCTTTATTTGCATGACGATACAGTTTTTCATTTGCTATAGAAGTCATATAGCTCTCTTCCTCTCCAATTCTCTCTCCTTTTCTCCCTGTCTCACTACATGTTGTACCCCCTCTCTTCTCCTCCCTCTTTCCTCCCTCTAAGTGACTACATCATTAAGGAAAAGACAGTGCTCCTACAGAAGAAAGACAATGAGGGCTTTGGCTTTGTGCTTAGAGGAGCCAAAGGTGAGCTTCTTTATCAACATTCACCGCATTCCTCTGCCTTTAAAGATTTCTCACTCTCACCTGCTCGATTTCTCCCTCTGTAATCTCTCGATGCCTCTCTCATTTTCAAACTCATGTTCTCGTTATCTGTGTCCACTCATTCTCATCATTTTTGTCTTATCCTCCCCAGCTCAGACTCCCATAGAGGAGTTCACTCCAACACCGGCGTTTCCCGCGCTGCAGTACCTGGAGTCAGTCGATGAAGGGGGTGTGGCGTGGAGGGCGGGCCTGAGGATGGGGGATTTCCTCATCGAGGTAACAACAGGATGCATTTTGGACTGAAACCCACTTAGAACTTTTTCTGATTGTTTGAGTTTTAGTAACAACACTAACACTAACTTTTTTTAAAAACCTTACTGCTGCACCTTCAGGATAATTCACAAATCATACAGGAAGAGTTGTATGGTGAAGCAAAAGCTGGCCTACACATTTTCAAACTCACAGAGCTTTGATGGGTGATTATGCAACAAGCTACAGTATGCACCATACCACATTTAGAGTGTGATGTTCAGGACACATATTAAAAAATCATATCACCCGTGCTTTCTCCACTGACGTGTTCTGAATGTAACATGTTATGTTATGCAGCTATGTTCCTTTAAGAGGGTCAAAAGTGGGCACATGAAAAAAACTGTGTTAACAACAGTAACCCTTTTAGGATGCACTGAACCAAAGATTGCAGAGTCGAATAATTAAATATTGAAATCTTCATGGTGGGTGTGTTTCTATACCCCTATAGTTAATACCAGTTTATTGGTTGGAGTGATTTTGGTGGTATTTTTTCAGACTGTAGGTTTTATCCTGTTTCAAAATATAAAAACATATCCTTTATGTAGTGTATTTCAGTTGAGTTTGTGAGGAACTGCTGTATTTGTTATTGCTTTTCCTCTCTGACAAAGCAACAGCAGTTGACGCAGCAACTTTCGACCCTTTTGTACCTGTAAAAGTCCCCGCACGTTGCCTTGAAAAGTCGGTTCTAAAAATGGCAATGGTGAAACCTCTATTAAATCTGACACATACAGCTAATTGGTATTCAACCAAATATGACTCACTTATGTAGCTGCCCGAGCCTTTGTAATGTAGACACTGTCTGAATTGCTGGTGCAGCCGTCCAAAGCTAAACTAAGTTGTAAATTTCATGAGTTTATGCCAAATATGAACCACTGGTCACAAGTTGACCCTTAATGACATGACATGTAGTGTCTCTGTTATTTTGTCCACCCCTTATAACAAGATTTTTAATTTAAATGGAAATGAAAGAAATACACCAGCTCATTCTGCAACCTTCAGTCGTTCTGTGTCTCTGTTTCTGTCAGGTCAACGGCCAAAATGTGGTGAAGGTTGGCCACCGGCAGGTGGTCAACATGATCCGACAGGGCGGCAACAGCCTCATGGTCAAAGTTGTGATGGTCGCTCGGAACCCTGAGCTGGAGGATACCAACCGGAAGAGGGGTAGGGGGGGTCAGACTTTCCTCATATGATGTCATATGTTTCTGATATGACGATAAAGCTGATACCATGTTTACTTCACCCTAAAAGCCTTTTGCTGTGAGGTTGTCTTTGACCGCATGTTTACACAAGAATTCTAAACATTAAGTTTGCATTTGGCTGGCTTCCCTTGGCAGCTCCACAGCAGACGAAGAGACTGACTCCTCCTGCCATTGCCCTGCGCTCCAAGTCGATGACATCAGAGCTGGAAGACATGGGTAAGATGACATAGGAGAGTGAAGACAGAAAGCAACATATAAAAAGGAGCATAAAACAGGAAAGAACATATGAGAAAGAGATCAAATTTATGTCCCCCTCAGTTTTATACTTTTTCTTTTTTGTGAAGGGGAGCACAGTAAAAAAGCTTGTTTTTGGTTGGTTAGTTGCTTCTCTGCAGGATGACAGTACTATGGCACTATTAGGGAAACACAGCATTAAATATTTACAGAGTTGATGCAGAAAGCCAAGAGAATGATGTGTGGGTGCATTTTCATTTTTTCATTAGCAGTAGTTTGATGAGGAAGTAGTCATTTGATTCAATGGCACTATTAATAATACCTGGTGATAATTAAACAATAAAGTTACGAAATATAAAAGCAATTACACGTTGTTAAATGCCACTTGCCTGATGCCATCAATCACCAATTGCTTTGCTTTTCCCCCCTCTGAACCACATGTGCTGCATACAGTGGACAAAGGTGGGAGAATCATAGATTTGTGTGCTCTTATTATCATTTCTGTCCTCATCACCTTCCCTCTCATCACATCAGCGTTCACACCATCACATGTGTCTGAGTATGTATTTCATCCTTTCATCTGCTTTATACACATGCAGAGTAATTCTAGTCACACCTAATTTCTGTTTCCCAAATTATGCATGCTACAGCGGCCTCTCCATGGAAAAAGAAAGCAGGTGAGTATCAGCCTTTATCGCTGCCCCCATCAGCCCCTGAGCTTTAATTAAAAGTCAGCCTGTTTGATGCTACCTTCTCCTCCTCTTTTTTTCAGATTACGAGTCCTCTCAGGGTCCTGATAAGAAGAGGACAGTCTATCAGATGGCACTAAGTAAGGAATCACTCTTTCCGCTCTTGTCATACTGTAGCACGGTGTTTTTATACCTTGAGGGGACGGGAGGGGGCTCACTGAAATCCTTCATGTTTCTCCCTTTACGCTCCTTCTCACTAACTCTCTTCCCTTCTCCTCTGGCCTGGCTCTGTCTTTGTTTTAGATAAACTGGATGAAATCTTGGCTGCTGCCCAACACACTATTACATCAGACAACCAGGGCCAGAGAGGTCATGGAGGCAAGAGGGACCGGAGCAAGAGCATTGTTCCGAATGTCTCCAATGAGGTATTGTTGGGAATTGGAAGGACATTGTCCTATTTAGGATCATTATACCATAAAATCTTCCCTGTATCTTAGACCCTATTTCACTATTACTGGCAAAATATTATCAAATACTGAACACCTCTCTCCTAGTCCAGCAGTATCAGATTCTGATAAACAACACTGCTCAGGATGCTGCACATATTTAGTCATGGAAGTGACTAATGTTATCAAAAAAAGAGATTCCTATGTATAAATCAGCTTGGTCTTTAGCTTGCTTTTAGCCCTGAGTGTTGTCCTGCCCTAGAGACAATTGATTGACAATGGACCACCCACATCAAAATGTTTGTTTATCTGTGACTAAGGCTGTGTCCATTCATCTATGCTCTGTTGCCTGATACACTAATACTGGTTATGCTGCATTGAATTTTACTGTATATGAAATCAATATCAGCTCAACAGCCAGCATCATTTTTATGTGATTATATCTGAGTTAATGTTTCCTCTTCTTCCTTTGCAATTCTCTTTTGCCCCCTTGTTTCGGTGCCTGAAGCAACCTTATGAGCAGCAGTCATCCATGAGCATGGTCCAGCAAGGACCAGGTTTTGGCTACAACCAAGCTCATTTTCAACCAGGCCACGGTCCTCAGCATGCAGTCATGATGCGTCAAAAATCTATTGGTAATGACAATTATTCTGGAAAGATTTCTGCCTGCTTAGTATATACATGTTTGTAACTGTCTGTGTCTGTGTGCTCAGGTGTAACCGAGGAGGAGAGGCAGTACCTACACCCCCCTGCTATGAAGCTGGCTCGCAGCCTGTCAGTGCCGGGACCGGAGGAAATCCCCCCACCCCCTAACACATCCGCTCCAGATCCACCTTTATCTGCAGGCCCTCATCCTGTGAGAGGGCCTGCTATGCCCATACCCCCTGTATCTCAAGCCCACTACCAGGTCCATTCCCAGCCAGGGCATTCTACTCAAGCTGGCTGGGAGAGGGGAGGCAATGGTGGGATGAATCAGCAGGTCATGGTCCCTACTCTCAGGAGACAATCTGAGGGACTGGAAGCATCCAGGAGAGGTGGTGGCAAGATGGGAGGGTTACGAAGAGGCTATAGCAGCGCTACGCCACCAACAAGTGCTAAACCTAAGGCCCAACAGGCACCGCAACATCAAGTGCACATGGCCAACCGGGAGCAGGGTGGAGGAGTTGGCAGGGGGGCAGCCAGGAGGGGTGGTCGAGGAGCTCTGATGAAGCAGTCAAAAGTGGAAGATGGGCTGCGACAGCAAAGAGGTAAAGGAGGTGCAGCCAAAGAGAAGAGCTCGATCCCCATTCCTACCATCATTGTCAAAGCACCCTCAACAAGCAGCAGTGGCCGTAGCAGCCAGGGAAGCAGCATGGAAGCTGAGACCTCCCAGGAGGTGGTAGACCACACCTCAGCTGATGCAACCGCAGACATTCCCAACACCAATCTACCATCACCACTCACCTCCTCACCACCTCAGCCCCCGACATCCTCTTCCTTGCCCTCTTCAACCGTCGCCCCCTCTGTTTCCTCACAGCAAAACCTGGAAAACATGGATTACACTTCAATTTTTGGTACAGCCTTTGGAGGAGGAGGAGGAGCACGTAGAGAAAGAGAACGTTTTCGAGATATGAGAAGAAAGAGTGCTTCTTTCTTCCTATCATCTGAGGAGGATATTCAAGGAGAGGCAGGAGGAGGAGCAGGAGATGGAGGAGGAGCACTAGCGGTAAGAATTCAGCCTCTGCAGGGCTCACAAGTGGATGTACCCACACCTCGACTCCGGCCCTCCAAGTCTATAGATGAGGGCATGTTTTCTGGAGACAACTACGTCAACTATTCCAGCAGCATGCCCCCAGCCTTTGGCCTGCCTGAGTATTCCTCCCCTATCCTTGGTCAGGATGGACAGCCCAAGTCTGCTCCCTCAGTGTACGGCACCCAGCCAGCTACTACTTTCATCCATCCGCTTACAGGAAAAGTTCTCGACCCTTCATCACCGCTTGGCCTGGCCCTAGCTGCAAGAGAAAGAGCCTTAAAAGATGACCGCCGGACGCGCCGAGAGGACAGACACTTTGGTCGGCAGATGTCCACTGTGGGAGCATTCCCCACCCCTGTTCAGACCCCAGCTCCTTCCCTATTTGCAACCCCGACACAATCGACCTACACTTCCCCAGTGTCACTCCACCTAAGCTCCACCACCACCTCGCCTGCATCTCTGAGCCGGCCCCAGTCACCAAGGATATTACGTTTGGGAGGAGGAGGTGGGGATAGGATGGAAAGAGAAAAGGAAGGAGGGCCCAGAGAGGGTCTTCGAGTTCGCTTTTCAGAGGACAGAACCAATCAATATTCAACCCAGTATTACCCACAGAGTCCCAGGGAGAGAGAAAGGGAAAAGGAGTTGTACGACAGCAGACCTGCTTCATCCATTCAGCCTCCTCCACCTCCAGCTCAACCTGCACCCCGCAGACCTTCCTTTTTGCAGATGGACAGCACCTCCAACACCAGCTACATTCCTCAGTACACTGTCCCCACAGCCCCAGTACAGACAGATCAAGCTATGGGAGATGTAAGAGGGGGGTCAGGTGGAGGTCTAGGACTGATGGTTCTCCCCCCGCCAGCTCCATCAATAGACGCAGACGATGAGTTTGTTTTTGCAGATCCATTGCCCCCTCCTTTACAGTTTGCTAATGGTAAAAAAGAGAGAGGCCAAGAGTTTGCTCAGCGCCATCAACACCCAAATCAACACTCTGCTGCTGTTGCTCCACCTCCCCCACCACCTCTTCCATCTCCGAAGCCCTCAAACGTTACCCAATCCTCCTCACAGGGTGGTGACTCTGCTGCCTCCAGCCTTACCTCCTATGACAGCGAGGTAGCTAACCTCACACAGTCAGCTCTCTCTCCATCTTATCCATCCCCTCAGATATTCCCCCCTTCCTCCACTTCTACCACCACCTCTATTGCTGCTCTGCCTCCTTCACTACACAGACCTCAGCCCATGTCCCATTCTCAGGCCTATTACAGCAGCATTAATGACCCCTCAGTAGGTGGCCACACTCTTGCCCAGGACAGAGGTACAGCTGCCCTCACCACCACCATGACATATGCTACCACAACCATGACAGCCACTGTTGCCGCCACCACCACAACCTCACCTTCATCCTCTGACTACAGCATCTGCATGGCTGGGCCCAAAGCTGGTCTCACCACAGGGGGGAAAACTCCAGACCACACTCATCACACCACTATTATACCCAAGAGCGGAGACTGGCAAGATGGTGTGGTGGATTCTGGGATTGAGGAGCTGGACAGTCACAGCAGCAGCGACCACCATTTAGAAATGCTGGGACTAAGTGGTCTGAGAGGAGAGAGGGGAGGGGTTGGAGGAGACGGACAAGGAGGAGAGATAGAGAAAAGTAGCGAACATCAGGATCCTTGTACAACCTACTCAGGTGGGCAAACATTTGAGGTGCACAGTGCCAAACTGGCAAACCCTGTGTTTCCAAAGATGACTCATTACAAAGAGGGAGGAGGGAGGGGCCAGTCTGTAGCACTACGCAGGCAGAACAGCACCAACCCGGCTCCACTGCAGTTGCACAGACAAAGCAACCTAGAGGACGCCAGGTTAGATGGAGCTCTCGTAGATGAGAGGAAGCGTAAGCAGAGTCGATCCAAAATGGAAGATGGCTTTAGCACAGCTCTGGCCGCCTGCTTAGAGAGACCTATGGAGACCCGGTCGGTGGGCTGGGTTGAGGTTGAGGAGCATGAGCAAGGTGGAGAGGTCCAAAGAGGTGGTATGGTCTTTGAGGGCCGCAGGCTCCACTCACCTCTTTCTGGTGTGAAGGCCAGCATCATCACTGAACTAAGCTCCAAGCTGCAACAGATGAGTAGCATGAAGAGCATGGATGACTGGAGCCACACTCCAAAATCACCCACCATGCATAGGTTTGTTTGTTGTCCATAAAATAAAAGTTTTTAATATCAGTTTTAAGCTGTTGTTAGAATTTAATATTCACAGGTGCATTTTTGTGTCTTTCAGGTATTCAGCAGATTATACTGATGCGTTTCACAGCCCCCCCACTGGCCGCTCAACCTCACCATTACCCACCTACTCCCCACAGCACCGTCAGATCCTGACACCTAACCTTTCGGCCACCCCTTCTATGTCCCCTACTCCTCAAGCACCAGTTCAGCGCAACTGGACCCGATCCCCTTCCCCACAGATGCCTACATCTCCAGTACATTCCCACCCTCCCCATTCTCCGACCTACTGCCCATACCCAACATCGCCGAAGCATCGGTCCAAGTTTCGTAGACAAACTTTTGATTTCCAGTGTAGTCCGACTAAAGAGATGCGGTCCTCAGTCTCTCGGCGCCGTGCTCCAAGCCCTCTCATCTATAACACTGAACAACCAAACCCCACCCCACCTAGGCCCTCCTCGCTCCCCATACTTCCCACTACACCAGTCTACAACAACCCTTTTGACTTTCCCGGGCCCCTCACTCCTCCTTCTCCTGGCATCCCTCTAGGAGATGCCTACCAGGCTTCAACGCCTCCCTTGTACTCCCCATCTGGTGTTCCAAGCCCAAATCCCCTACTTGTCTCCCGCTCTCTCTCCCCTACCCACTTTCTCTCTGGAGCCTCCTCCCCAATGCATTTGCCCCTCAGCCCATCTTGTCTCAACTATCCCCATCTCACCCCTCCTCCACCAGCCAAACCCTTTGCCGTCAAACCCCTGCCCTTCTGGACCAAGTACGATGTTGCAGACTGGCTGGCTTATCTAAACCTGGGTGAACACAGAGAGCGTTTTATAGACAATGAGATTGATGGATCGCATCTGCCTTCGCTCACCAAGGACGACTTCTTGGACCTGGGAGTGACACGCGTGGGACACCGAATGAACATCGAGAGGGCACTGAAGAAACTCACTGACAGGTGAGGGAGGACCACTAGACTCTGGAACACATAGAGGCAACGGGATCAAAAGGTCAAAAAGGAAGGTGAAGGAAAGTCAAAGTGTCTCATTCCTTCCATACAAGTTAGCTGGACCTTCCCCTTTGTTCATTCGATGCATATAACTTGATAAGTTATTCCATCTTCCCTCCATCCCTTTCTCTCTCTCTCTCTATTAATCTGTTTTATCAACCCTATTAAGTTCATTTTTATTTCATTTCTTCCCATTCTTATTCTTTGATTTGCCCTCCCTCTCTTCCCAGGTGGCTCTCCTCTCCTTTGCATCTCACTACTTCTCCCCAAGACACAGACTGAGAGAGTGAAGGGGAGAGTCAATGGTGACAGAAAGGGAGAGAAACAAATTGCAAAAGATGGACAATAACGGAGGATGTGCAAGACAAGAACAGTGGACATCACCAGGTTGAATTAAGACGGCCGGACATGTGGGGGGGGCTGTTTCAAATTAGCTTCACATGTAAAGACTATTGTTATGAAATTTGTGGGTTTCTGGGCAAGAAAGGGTATGAAGAAATGAAGAGTACACGAAAACAACACTCTCCAACTGAAAGATACTTTAAAACTTTTGATGGACAGGCATTTAATTAACACACCGTTTTGTGCTGTAAAGACACATACGCTCACATCCAGTGACAGATGGATTCTCACGCCGTCTGCAGCTCAGCAGCGCTGAGAAAACTTTGGTCTGTGTTCAAAGAAAAGTTGGAAAGTTGCATCTTAAAGGGTGAACCCTTATAATATGTTGTTTTCTGGTGAAAAGAGAAACATTAGAGCCACATCATGACATCAGTTTTGTAGCTTTAAGTATATGGGTGTGAGTTCCGCAGCCAAAGTCAGAGTATGAGATAAAGGGTTTCGTTTGTAAATGATGCTAGAGGAAAATGATAGACAATAGTATTCTTTTTATATATTGCCATATTCCCCCAAAGGATTCCCCCAGTAAGCTTTGTATGTATGTACTTTGCGAGCACTAAATATATCTTACATGTTAAACTGGATTCACTATTAGTAGAACCATTTGTTTTGTACTAAGTGCTGATCGCAATCATTCATTTCAAACAGGTCAGGGTATTTTAAACTGTTGAATTGAAGGTATGAATAATGAGGGCATACAGATGTTGAGACAATGTTGTTAGGAAATGAGCTGCTATTATTTTCCTAATCGTTCTACAGAAAGGAGAGAAAATATTTGAGAGCAACTGAAACAAGTTTGCATGTCACTTCAAGCTGCAAATTGCTCTTTAGACTTAACAGGTGTTCACGGCCATAGCACAGGTCAAGGGATGGATCCATCCTCTCTGATGCCATAATGTTGAGCGCTCTCTCTCACACAGCAGGTGATCAAAAAGGGCTTTTTACGGCTACTCTGTCTGCCTGACTTCCTCAACCTTCAGCCCCTGTGAGTCCGTGTGTGTCTGATTTTGTGCGTGCGTGTTCGTCGGCCTGCGTCGGTGGCTAAATGCTTCCCCTGACCTACACCTTTCGATTTATAATGCCTTTTCCAAAACATATTTATAACGGTCGGAATACATGACTTTTCTCACCAGATGACAATCCCAGTGTTTCCCTGTTCCGCACATAACCCTTCAAAAAGAAAACACTCTGACCCACTTTTAAAAAAGATTTTCTTTTTCCAAATTCAATACTGTATATGTTTAATACATGAACACCCTGCATTTTTTCTTTTACATGCCAGTTTAGCCATTCCTTGCAGAGAATTCAACACATCATTTATAGATCTATATGTAATGATGATGATGACAATGATACAAAATATAGTATAATAAAGATAATATTATTAAGTATGTAATCCTTTTTAAGAATCTCTGTCTTCCAGATAGTGTGGACAAATTCTTTAAAGCTTTGTTTGGTTTATGTTTTAATTTGGGGTTTTCAGTCGATGCTTTCTCTACTGCTCTCCAGTGAAGCTGACACGTTATTTAATGTATATTCTCTCTATGTGAGTGTCAAAATAACGACTCTGTTCTCATGCTGAGTTGCCTCGATGCTTTTACACGATGGATGCTATTCCAGAGAAGTGAAAGGACTGAGCAGTAGTGTAGAAAGCATAACATACTAGGAATTAAAGAGTATTTTAGGTCTAGCAAAATGCATTATGAGTATGACTTCATGCAGTATGAGTGTAAGTATGCAGAGATAAAAGGTATATATATAAATTATATATATAAAGTTTTGTTTTAACTAAAACAGTATAAAAGTTGATAGAGGTACAACTAAGGTGTTGAAATAAATGCTAAGATAAACTATGACCCTGCAATGATTCTCATTTCTCCTTGGATTCCCTCTTCTTACAGATTCACATAATGATCCAATTTAAAGTGCTGTGTTTGAACTGAGTCATTTGGCAGCAGCTCGTTTTAGCCCCACGGTCGTTCAGCAAAACATTGTTTTCAGGTTTCTCGATTATTTTCCCATCATGCTCGGTGAGGTAAAAGGCACAAAAGAGGGGAGCTCACGGGGAGGGGGAAGATGAGACGGCTTAATTTAAAGCGAGCAGCGGCTGCGCTCATGCAGCAAACCGAGAGCGCCTGTAAGGCATGGAGAAGGATGACAAACAACTTGGAAGACTGTGATATTGTTTTCTAGAGCTGTGGCCAGTTCATGGTTGAAAACTGTAAATACTATTAACTGCATCCTTGTGTTTCTGTAGATGGGGTTTGCTCATAGGTAGTAAAAGTTTAGATATCTGGGGTTACTCTTTCCTTCTCACAGTATAACAGGAGGATAAAAACTTCCACTACTCTTGTGGGTTTGATTAGATTTTTTTATTTTCCTTTTTTATGTGATCTGACTCATTTATGTTCAGTCACCAGGTCGCTCCATACTGTTTTCATTGAGATAATTTCTTTGCTAGAAGCTACAGACAACCTTAACAAGTTAAAGTAGAATTCATCAGATGTCTCACGCTGTTTTCAGACATACAGTAAAGTCAAGACATTTTTCTGGAAATTTACAGAGGGGCTCTTGTTGAGAACACAGATGTTCAAGTTAGTTGCTCGGTACACTATTCCTGCCGTACAGCCACTGATTAAAATGTTAGAAAAATGTCCTGAGGGAGCCCACGCGAGACTACAAAAGGAAAATTTCACAGCCAATGAGTGGACATGTTGATGTTTCTAAACACATGACAGATGCAAATGTACAAATATCTCAGGATGAAAAAGGAGCTATACACATAGAGGATGCTCAGCAAACACAAGAACAAAACAAAACATTTTATCTTGTCAGTTGTGGACAAGCTGTTGAGATTAGTGGATTTTTGAGGAGTCTCCTTTTAAACAGTGTTTATTGCAAATAGACTCAGAAATCTAGACCAGATACCGTCAGCGGTAAACAAAGTGTAACTCTGGATGACACTGGCAAATATCCAGAAGAGCGCAGATGCAGTAGAAGTAAACAGTGCGTGTGCACGAGAGAACATGCTGCACAGTGTACCCTCTTTGATGGCCTCTCTTTCTAGGCCTGACCAGAGAAAGAATGGCAGGTCACAAAGGAGCACAGGGTTAATCTGCCAGTTCATGGGACACCCCCTACTCCCACCCTCGCCTCTGCTGTCACACACACTCACTAATAAGCTCACATGACTGTGTGCCACACTGACATGATACTGTGACCAGCGGATAGTCAAAATGAAGTTCCAGCATCTCATTAGCACCATATTTAGAGAGACAGAAAGAGGGACGGGCAGGGTGGAGAGAAGGAGGGGGACTCTTCCAGCTGTTTTTTTATAATACCACAGTGGAGAAAGTGAGAGGGGCGATTGTCAAAGATAGGAGGGAGACTCGAACAGCCTGACACAAGGAAGCCAATGAGTTAAAAAGCAAAGGATGAGATTGAAGTGAGGGAAGAGAGGGGAAAGAGGAAGAAGAGTTCATCCTGGAATGATTGAGAGCTAGAGTATCACAGCTGACGTGAGAGCAGGGCAAGAAAGGTAAGTTTCCTCCTCTTGAAGCCAATAAGCAGGAGAGCGATAACCATGAAAATTAATTTTTTTGAATTGTCATTGTGTCTCACGCCCACTTTCAGATCAACAACGTGTGTGTAACTTTAAGTGCCAAGGGAAAATTGGGTCAGTGAGAGGGGAGAGGGGGAGAACAGCCTGCGTTAGAGGAGGAGAGACGCACTGGGAGAGGGGGAGACGGACAGAGAAATGAAGGGAAATCCTCTGTAGCCCTTGAACTACAGTAACAAGTGGTCACTTGAGTAATCACTGGTGATTCAGAGAGACATGTAAGTGCCGGTTGCTCACAGGCTTGACTGCTCTGCTGCCTTTTGCTTCTTCTTGGCTAAAGGATAGAGGTTTTTTTTTGGCATTGAAATACTTTGCTGTGGTGATGCAGGCTGAGCTGTTGAGTTCTATCTCAAACCTCTCCCTCCCCTGTGCACGGACAACTACAGAGACAGAATAGTTTTTAAAAAGTGGAGTTTTGTGCCACATTTCCTGTGAAAAGACAATGTGAAGAACAGTTAGCTGAGGGAAAGACGGTCCTACATGAGCCTGAGTCTCCGTCAAGCTCAGTCTTGTGATGAGGTGTGGTTAGTCACTTTCATATTACTCAGCCAGCAATGTGTGTGTGTGTGTGTGTGTGTGTGTGCCCAGACAGAAATAGGCCCAAATGTGATCGTGTCCTATTGCGTGTCTGTGCATGCATTTCCTTGCTTTTGTTTGATATGCCTCTCACCCGCCAACATATTTGCCACATGTGCTTCAATTTACATGCTGCGCAAAAAAATGTGCTATCTGGACAAGTTATTCCTTTCAAATCCGACATTCCATTTGGTTTGCCAGATCGGTAAATCTACCCCTGCTGCGCTCATGATCTCTGAATCGAATCGAGTCAGAGTGGGAGACAGTTGGTTCTAATAGGCCTTTATTAGCCAGAGCAAAGGGAAAGATGACCTTTCTATGCTGTTTATTTTGGGAAGGCAACAGGAAGAATGCCAGAGCAGCTGTTCTATTCCTGCTGGCAGATCCCACCCCTGTGAATTCCAGTCTGCCACTGCAGCGACACTCCCCTTACTCACGCAGTGGGTTCGGATGTTCCCGAGTACTCTTCAGTGTAAATAACACCTCGTCAGAATCATCTAAGTTGTTATGGCAATAAGCTCGGCAACGTCCACACACACACACACGCACACACACACACACGCACACACACACACACACGCACACACACACAAAACGCAAACCCTCAGCTGCCAATCATTTCTTGTCATAGACGCACGCCTGCTGTACATGGTGAACAGCTCTGTTTAAGATGAGGCCTGCTGTATCTGCACATTACACAGTGTAGACGTCCAACCTGTTCCATGATAATCAGTGTCACTTGCCTGCCAATAAAAACTCTCTATTTCCCTGCTCGTTATGCATCTTAACCTGTCTGGCAACTCTCTTGTATCACACAAACAGCTATCGTTTGCTTTCCGAGACAGACACGTTCCCTAAAAATGGCGAGCCTCCCCAAAGAGCCATCCGAAGATGCCAAGAAACAGAGCTTCTGGATGGTGAGGATTATTTTTATCATCAAGTCTAAGAAAACTACCGCCCTAGGAACAGCTTTTTAATCCAAAACAGTACTCTTGTGCTCGTGGCTGGCTTGTTACACATGATCTCTGCCTCTCCTTGCAGCCGGGGAATTATGTGCGCACAGTGCACAGAACAGAACAGTCCTTCCAGGCCTGCAATGACATCGTGGCCTGCTTCATGGAGAGGGCAAAGGTAGAGAAACAATATGCCCAGCAGCTCAGCCAGTGGAGCAGCAAGTGGAAGTCCATAGTTGATTCACGTAAGTATGAGAAACCGCATGATTGCTGCACAGCCATGGTGGCCTAGCATCAGAGCACACACACTCCCAGGCCTTTTTGATCATCTCAGCTTGCTCTCATCAAGTTTAAATTGCCTCTTTGGTCGCATTAAATGAGTGCATGTGTACTTGATTGAAAATCTCCAGTGGACAAATGGAGGCCATTATTTCTCTATTGTTTCCATGACTCACCTCTGTTATTTCATTTCTCCGTCTGTCTTTTTTTCACCTCCCCAGGGCCACTTTATGGCTCCCTCATGAGGGCGTGGCAGTGTTTCTTCACCTCCACCGAGCGCCTGTCAACCCTCCACTCCTCCATCTCCCAGTCACTCACCGCTGAGGAGGGGCAGCGAGTGAAGAGCTGGCAGAAGGAGACCTTTCCCAAGAAAATCTTCTGTGGGTTCAGAGAGAGTTACGACAACAACACCAGCTTTTCTCGAGCCCAAAAACCCTGGTCCAAAAAACTCATGAAGGTCCAGAATACAAATCATTTACATTGTGTGTGTGTGTGTGTGTGTGTGTGTGTGTGTGTGTGTGTGTGTGTGTGTGTGTGTGTGTGTGTGTGCGCGCGCACCTGCATGTTAGTAATGGTTGCCATAATTGCAATTGGAGTTTGATATAAAATATTTACTCAATGTCCACGTCCTAACTTTTTTCTGGAGCTTTTGACTATAACTAATGGTCTTTATTAGCAAAATAAGCTATTTCAGCTATTTAAAAGTAATGGATTTCTTTGTAATTAATTCATTAATGCACAATAATGATTAAATAACAAGCATAAGGGAAAAGAAATTCAATATAAATTAAGCTAACCACCTAAAAGCTTCATCTTTACATGAGTGGTAACAATCTTCTCTTGTAACCTTCAGCAAGAAATCAAGAATTCCAATAATGTCAATCCTCAACATTATTAATGTATTTATCTATATTTAAAGTACATGCAACTTGAATTTACATACAAATTAATTTAATTTATTAATCAAAAGAAGTAAACTTAATTGACAACAAATTTAACTTTGTCTTGAAATTTTGGAAAAAAGGTTAAATAAATCAAATATGTGTATAAATGACATGTTGCAGTATTACATGGAGTTATGCACTGGACTGTTTCGGTGCAGACACTGAATATCAAACAGATGTTATACATGTATATATTAATATATAAATGTTAATTAGTGAGCTTCCTAAGCTGATTGCCAGATGTTGCATATACCAACGAGAGTGCTATCAATCTTCTCATCCAACTTCCCACAACAATTCAGCACATTTCCCATAATGTCAGACCCCTGCCTCATGTAAATATCTATATGTGCATGTTTATTCAACAGCTGGAGAAGGTCCGAGTGGCATACCATAAATCCTGTCAGAGGGAGCAAGCAGCCCTGGAGAAAGAAAAACAAGCAAATGAAAACACTGAGATGAGTCCAGAGAAAAAGCAGAAGATCACAGAGGCCAGAGAAAAGGCCAGAGAGGAGAAAGAAAAGGTGAGGAGAGATGTTAACACAATTCGCCATCTCAGTCCGAGTTAGTCATGCATGTTCGATAAAGGATTCGTTCACAGCACATTTAAAGTAAATCACAGATAAACATGTTGCATTCCAAGAAAGTTTTGCTGGCCCGCTGCATGTAGCCATATTTATTCAGTTCAGGAACTAGCAACTCCAAACACAAGCCCCAGCCTTAGATTTCTGTTCCAGGCATTTTCCTTGTATGGAGATGTGTTATTGTTACTCTGCTCAGTGTTTATGGAGCCCAGCATGGGAACAGGGAAGAGCTCCCGATGATTTATACTTTTTAGATCCACCTCTTTTTAAGAAACACAGGGGATGTTGTTCCTGAGGGAGAGTATATGGCAACCTCTCATCATAAGACTGTTCCTCTGACCTGCCCACAGAATAAGGAGTGCTACGAGAAAGTGCTGGAGGATGTGACATCCTACACACCCCGCTACATGGAGGAGATGGAGGCCATATTTGAACAGTCGCAGGAGGAGGAGAAGAAGAGGATTGACTTCCTGAAGCAGGCTTTCCTCTCCATCCACAGGCACCTGGACGTCACCAACAACGAGAGGTGAGCAGGCGTCGATCGGAGGCCAGGGTGTTTGTGAAGCTTGTGTGCGGATGAATGGGTTCATACAGTTTAAGTGCTCATTGTGTTGTGATAAACATACAGCTCCATGTCCCTGTGTCAGTGTGAAGGCCGTGTACAGTGAGCTCCATCAAACTCTGATGTCCATCGATGACCAGGATGATCTCAAATGGTGGAAGAACAACCACGGCCCCGGCATGGTCACCGACTGGCCAAAGATTGAGGTGTGATACACCAACAACCAGAGGAAAAAACAAAACAATTGCATTAAATGTACATAAGACATTCTGAAGCAGATAAACACCAGAAACTGAAGGTGACAATATCAAATTAAGCATCAAACATTGAGTATTTTTCTTCTTCTTCTCACCTCAGTTAAAGAAATACATCTCTTCTTGAAGATTTTATATATTGCATAGGCATGTGCATTTTCACAAATGCCTAATAGTATTTATAAATCTCTCAGACCTAAAATAGTCTTTAATTTGAGTTGTGTGAAGATCTTTAGATGTTTAACATTTAAAAACCCAAACTTTTATCTTTGTCAGGAATGGGTCCCACCAGTAAAAAAGCTAAATAGAAAGAAAAGAGACCAGAAAAGAAAAGAGGGCCAACCGTAAGTAGTACTTTTCACCTACGCAATAGAAACTAGATAACACCAAGGCCCTGTCCCAATTAGTCCAACCCATTCGTTTTGCATGTGGCTGTGAAGGGGTAGTTTTTTCCCATTTCTCTGTGATGTAGGGATTATATATATTTTTTAAATCCCAGAGATTCTTCTGGTCTGTTTTTTCACTAATTAAATGTCTGTGTCTTCTCCTGTTAGTGTGATGATTGGGGGTGTGAAGGTGCGAGCTCTGTACGACTATGTGGGAGAGGAGGGCGATGAGCTGTCCTTTAAAGCAGGTGACGCAAAGTGTTATATTCACAACACCTAAATACATTGTGTTATACAGTCCTCACCATGTTAAATCTACATTCAGCATACAGTATGGAGCTTTAAATGATGAAACAAACTTTCAGGATGGTGTTTTATGAGTAAATAGATGTTTTTTACATACACAGGATATTCATCATATAACACATAACTACTATCTTAATTATACAGATGGTTAAAATCTACAACACTAATCAAAGTGTTGTGACTATAATATATAGTTTGCATTCTGCAGAGACGAATAACTCTGATTGTGCTGCATTTATTGAGATATTTTGGAAATTTCTTTTGACAAAGTTCTCAAATCTAAAGAGAGTTGGGTGAGTCCATGTCAAATCCCAGATTTAAAACGATGCATTTCAACCCACAATGTTCCATCTGAACTTTTGTATTCACTCTGACCGCAGGTGAGGTGTTCCTCAAGGTGGAAGAGGAGGATGACCAGGGTTGGTGTCGAGGAGTGCTGAGCGAGGGGAAGGAGGGCTTCTACCCGGCCAATTATGTCGAAGTTGCAGAGTGAAATCACACTGTCCAAACGTTTCTGTCCTAAAGATATTTCTCACAAAGAATCTTCTAAAAAAAAAGAATGTATCATTTAATATCTAAGTTGTTTGTGACTCTGAGTTAAGTCAGATGTAATCTGTCCCCAGCTCTTTTTGAACCATCAAGTTTTAAGGCCTTAATATTCTAACCTAGTTGGTTTGAGTACTTCTTCAACATGAATTAACTTATGAATGACTAGTATGTAATGTTAGAGTTGTGTGTGTGTGAGTGTGTGTGAGTGTGTGTGTTTGTGTGTTTCCATGCACATGTGCACATTCAAATGAAACAAAAGAGAGGATATTTATTTACTGCTATCATGTCTGAGTCATTAGGTCACTGTAATGAAGATAACTGATAATTATACATGAGGTTTACCCAGGCACAGGTTTACGGTCATGTGTGCACACAAGGTTAATGTTTACTTAACACGTATGATGTATAAGCCAAAGCACACAGATGTTTGATGGAGAAGAATGGATTTTCACAATAAAAGTGTATTTGTTTTGCCTGTGATCCATCTTATTGACACAATGTTTTTTTTCTTGCAATGCGAGCAGTGTGGTTTTATGGATGGTGATGTTGGCTGGACAATCCACCTCTTTGCTTTGGATTGAAATATCTAAGCAAATATGAAATGGATTGTCGGGAAATTCAGATACTTGGTCCCACAAGAACGACAGTGACCTTAATGATGCACTGGCTTTTCCTCTAGTGCCACCATGAGGTTTATATCTCTGGTTAATCTGAAATTTGGTCAATTTATGTTCCCAGCAGGATGAGCTTTTGATATCAACCCTTTGGTTTATGGCCAAGACATTTTCATCAGACATTACAGAAATGTTAGCATGGCTTTTCAACTCTGTATAGATACAATCTATCACTTAAATTATTCTCTAAAATCTGTGAAGTGGTTTTTATGTTGCGTAGAGACGGGATACGATATATCATGACTCATCAAGTCCCTGCACATAAGGATTGGTATACAGTAGTTGCATGAATCAAACATCTGCTAAGCACAAATACTGAAAGAAAATGAAAAACAAGAACAAATAGGTTTTGTAAAAGAATTTTCATTTGGCTTAAAACACATTGTTTAATTTAAGAGTGCAACTCCTCTGTCCTCAAATCGTCCAGCATACAGAGGTCTTCCCCAAACAAGTGATACTATATTACAAGCCCTCTCATCCAAAGTGACTAAAATACGTCCATATTTCAATAGTAGCAATGGCAGATTATCTCCTTTAATCTTTGTATGTAGAAGAATTTCACAGGATCGTCACTATAGGTCGTTTTTTTTACTTTGAAAGAGTTAAACCTTTGACATCTTCCTGCCCTTTTTTCCACCCACTGTATTTACATTCATGAATGTTTAACTAATGTCTCGCAATAAGTCTGTGACTAACCACCCAACCTCTCACACACACACACACACACACACACACTCCACTCTACAGTACCTTTAAGAAACATGTTGGACCACATTCCCTGATCCTCAAACAATGTTAATAAGATGTCACGCGGGAGTTGAAACATTTCTGGGACCTGGGAGAGTTTCTTGTTTATAGTTGCACTGTACCCTCAGCATTCAAAGGACTCTGCCTGTGTGAGTACACATTATATATGCCTCCTTTCAGAGAGCTGGTTAATTTTATATTGCATAAAGACGTTGGATGCACTGTTTAGATTATGTTTCTTTAATGATACTACTTCTTAAAGGCATATTCATATCCACATGCTCCCCACAGGAAAGTATTCTGTTATTTCTTTGATTACTTTGATTGCTATGGCTTGGATTGGATAATTACCTGGTAAGAGTTAAAGTTGTTATCGGGTGTCGTTTTGTGTTAAATAATGTCCTTTCTCTCAAACAGAGACAGATCCACAATGGAATTTGCTTGTGGCTTTGTCTATGTGCCGCCAGTGAGTCAGACGGACGTACAAAGATCTAATGGCCATGTCATTAAACGCTCAGGTGTGATTTATTTCTCCTCGTATAAAAGAAAGAAATAACAACCTCTAACACTAACACTAGTCTAACCACACTCACGTGGCATTTTTTGGCTCCTAGTTGCAGGAGCCAAAAATATTTGGTATTTGATATATTTCTTAGCCTCACTGGAGTTTGACACCAGAAAGTATTTCAGCTAAAACATGAGCAGGAAACCATTTAAGAGGCAAAGAGCTCTTACTCTGCTGTGTCTATCGCTGATTCATTTCACCTGCTGTCAGCTCCATTCTCTGACAGATGCCAAAAGGCAATCTGGGAAATGTAGGATCATTGTCTAAAGTATGAATTGAGAGAAAGATTCTATTTCAAAGACTGATGGTATGGTGAATTTTCTTGCTTCCTTCTTCAAAACTGCCTGAGTGACTGGTTGGTCAAGTACTGTGATGTGTTATGTAACCTGTGACTCCCACACACACACACACACACACACACACACACACACAGGAGACACTCCTTACAGATATATTGCTCAGAATTGTATAGGTCACATTTTCTCACAGAGGAAGTTATTTTGTCTTCAATGCACATTTCTCCTGCAGGAAACTGTTCAGCATTAACAGCTGTTGTATACATTTCCTTTTTCTCTTAGCTCTCCTACCTCCTTGTAACCGAGTTCGTCCTCAGATGCCCCCCCCTCCTCCTCCAACAAACACTACAGAACCCAAGTCGCTAAAATTCCCCACATCTACCTCCAAGATCATTGAGCAGTTGGAGAAGAGCATATTGAAAAAGGTTGTCAAACCTGCTCTCGTCTATGAAAATGAAGGATGTCACAATAAAACTGAGGCGGCTTTATCCGTCAATACAACAGGCCAGCAGACAACATCTGCTCGAAGGACAGGTACAGTGAATGTGGAAGAATTGATTTGTTACTTTGAGACACTGTTTCATTCTTACATAGATACATTGATCGAATGATACATTACTACAATTATACATTGTTACATTGTTGCATAGATACATACATAGATTGGTTGATGGATCCACTCCTCAAGTCTGCTCCTGTCTATTTCACCCAGCTCTTCTTCCACCGCACATGAAACCTGCAGCAAACAGCCAGTCCCCTCCTGGCAGCCAGCCTCTCAACAGCACTCAGATACTTGCCTATGATCTGCCAAACACTGAGCCACATTTAAACACCCAGCCCTGGGATCCAAACTACTCATACAGTACACCAGAAGGCACTGGGGGCGAGGTGAAGCTGCCAGCCGATACCAGCAATGTGGCGGGTCCGACACCAGGTGAGCAGACATCTTTGTTTTTCCTAATTGTACCTAGATTTAACTAATTTAGGGAAGAGACAGGTCATTAAAATGTTCTCTGCTCTCATCTCAAGCTCCAGCCCTCCCACCAAGACCCTCATTCATGAAGTCAATGCCAGAGTACCTGGTGCTGATACCCTCGTCACGCTCAGCTCCTTCATCCTCTCAGAAATCCCCCTCAACTTCATCACTTTCCCACTCTGCTGGTAAATACAACAGCACCTGTCAAGGTGTGAAAGGACCAATATAGTCTACCATGACACATAACACTGATTTTGAATGCTCCCCACTCAGGATCAGCAGATAAGGAGCCACTTCCCGGTAATCCTAACGTTGTCCTAGTCAGTTTAGGGAAATTACTCTCAGAGGAAAGAGGTCAGTAAATTTTTATCATCGCCATAAAACCTTCATGAGTGGCCCTCTGGTTTTAGTTTCAGTATTATTATATATAATGATGACAATGATGATTGCATATTTCCAGTGCAGCCCATTGTAGGTGAGCCTACCTCCTGCTCCCAGTGTGGCTCTGTGCTGGACTCCTGCTATTACAATGTGGTAAGACCAAGAGTCATTGATTTCAAATGTGAAGAACAACTGTATATCTCCCTGTAATCACTACGAGCATAAGCATTATTGATCATAACATAATTAATAATCTGGATTAATTGGGACTGAAGTTGGCCTGTTTTGATTTCAGTTAATGTTTCGTGGTAACGTTCTCGCTTTATGCTGAACTGCAGGTTAATAAGTGTCACTTCTGTGGATCCTGCGAGTCGACCAGCCCTCCCTGTATAATTCCCAGTATGAACTTCCTCCTCAACCCGGATGAAAAGCCCCTGTGTGCTGCTGACGCTCTGCTGATCTTCTGCATCGACACCTCGGGCTCCATGAGCAGCACCTCCCAGGTAAAGACGCGGACCTGTCGTGGACTCTGATCTGTTCATGCTTGTCCAACATTCACAAATACAACATGCGATGTCTTCAGCTGATGAGACTCTCATTTGAAGGTGTCACTAGGAGAGCAGATTATCAACAGATCCCGTCTCCAGGTGAGTTTTTCACATTTCTCAAATGTCCTTTTATGAGCTCTACGAGTATAATGTCAACAATAGTTGTCCAGAAACAAAATCATGATGCTTCTGGTGAATTAAAAAATATTGTATTCAAAACAGTTTGTCCAGGAAGCTGTGATACAGTGTGTTCAGAGACTAAGTGAACAGCAGCCAGACATAAGGGTGGGACTCATCACCTTCAACCATCAGGTACACACAATCTTCCCTCTGATAGCACTAGTTGTCTAATGTCTTATGTTGTTCTTCAATCTTTCAGGTTTGTCTCCTATTTGAATAATCCTTTTCTTGTTCGTACTGTGTCTGTTTTTCCCTGAGTCACCGTGTCTTTTTGTCTTTCATTTGATTTAAGCGAATGTCGTCCGTCTTCAGTTCTGCCAGGCAGCATCATTGTAATCTTGAAAAACACTATGAATAATATGTTTTATTGCTGTTGCTTTTCTTTATGCCCTGATGGTGGTATTGCCAGGTTATGATGCACGGCCATGAGAATGTCACTTCACATTTCCTGAGTGGAGCTGAGTTGATTGACAGCGACTATCTGAAAGAGGCTGCAGCCAGTTTCCCCAGTCCACCTCCGCTCTGGCAGACCAAGGAGTTCTTACAGAAACAAGTTATGGGGTATATATATTTATGTGTGTCTGTGTCTGTGTGTATATGGATGTATGAAACTATATATTTATATGTGATGATACCCGTTTTATGATCAAATAACAAACATATCATCTTGATTCTGTTTTTTCCAAAAAAGATTATCTGAAAGTGGGACCACAGCTCTGGGTCCAGCTGCTCTCCTGGCAATTGCAATGGCCTCCAGACAGCCAGGGTCCAATGTAGGTTTGGTTTTTCAATCTCATTTTATTATATGTACATATAAACATGGTTTATATATATATATGGAATTATACAGGTATGGCACTATTATCTTGGAGGTCGGGCTGAAGTTTTATTTTTCTATTTTCTAAAAACAATACACACCTGATCTTGAAGGTGATTGTCTGTACAGATGGGAAGGCCAACACTGAGTTAGGAAATCTGGAGGTGGAGGACAATGATGCTCACACTCTCCTTTCATCCACCATCTTCTACCAGGAGCTGGGGGACTACGCTGCTATGCAGGGGTTTGTACACATCTCTGAATTAATGTCGAGACTGGAAATGTGTGATCAAGCACATTACACAGCGAGTGGATATACAGATGCAGCCCGGTTAAACTTCACTGTGATGAAGATGATGCTGAAATATGCTTCTTCCATTAGTGTGACGGTGTCTGTGCTGTCCATAGAGGGAACAGACTGCAGGCTGGATGAGCTGGGACGTCTCGCCGACCGCACTGGTGGCAAAGTAAGAGACATTGTAAACCTGCATCGCATCTGATTCATCGTCGTATTTTTCAGATCAAGTCTTGCATTTCTAATGTCCTTGTGTTTGGCTCTTTTCCTCCAGGTGGTGGTATCAAGTCCAAACAGGCTGCACCCAGAGTTTGAACAGATCATTGACAACAGGACCACAGCTACACACTGTACCGTCACATTACTGCTGCCCAAATCACTGTAAGAGCTGCACCGTGTTTCAATATAACTAAATGCACTCAGTCGAGTGCATACTCCGGTTCCATTAAATTCAAACAAGCTGTACCAAATTACACTCATAGATATAAGTTCTCTAAATAGGCCTGATTTTTCTTTCATCAAGATCCATGAATTCTTTACTGAGAAATCAGTGAAAATTAAAAAAAAAACATCCTATTTCACAATGTTAAAGTAAGTGTATCCTCACCAGAACTTAATGGGTTATTTCCTGACCCATTCTGAATCCTCCACCAAGTTTCGTGGTCATAAAGTAGTTTGCAGACACACAAATAAACAAACAACCGGACAAAAGTGAAAACAGAACCTCCTTGCCAGAGGTAGAAATGCCTCAGGAATTGATCTAAATATTAAGCACATGAAAGAATTTGGAAGCACTTACATTACATTATCAACAGGGTCTGGCAGGATTGACGGATGTTCTCCTTTTCTGCAGACGAATGAGAGGAGAAAAGGAGTCAGGACACAAAGTGACAAGAGAGGTAGGGAATGTGGCCCCGGACACAGAGATCACCTTCCAGTTTGGAGTCAATGAACTCGACACCGAAGGTGAGAGAAAAAACTGCTGTCACCACTTGACTGTCTGTATTTTTATTTATTTTCTTAGTGCAGATCTAGTGCTTTGCTCAGTATTGTCACAGGTCGTGTTGTGATGTTTGTGCTGCCAGGTCTTGCAGAATGCTGATTGCTGTTGCAACACTGTAGTCTCTGACAAACAAAAACTAAAAAAGCTGCTATAATGAATAACAGAAGAAATCTGGTCAGAGAAGAATTTGGATGCACATGTAACAACTTATTATTTCTCGAAAAAGAAAAAGAAAAATTCTATTAATGAAGATCAATGACCCTGACTTTTAAACTTTGATAACCAAAATCTATTGAATTCATCCTTGAGTCGAACCAAACACTTGCAGCAAAAATAGAACTTCTCTCCATGTGGTCTTGAGTTATAATATTCAAAAAGATGGGACGGAAAGATAGACAGAAAACACGTCTCCAGCAAATGGCTTTCTCAGGCATGGAGTCCTAAAAACTTTGAACCCTCTGGACTGATATCTGTGTTCTGTTTGCTTCTGCTCAGCGTCGGCTCCAGCCCCTGGAAGCTGTGTGTCCATCCAGCTGCTGATCAATTACCGACAGAGGAACGGACAGACGATGCTCAGGGTGATAACTGCAAACCGAGATGTCACTGATGACAGGTGATCATGTTGTTTCCATAACCACGGCGCTTCCCTCACTCGCACTTACAAACACACACCACTGTTGCACTGAGCTATCTGCATTCTTGAGGCGTTGGGAGTTTAAAGTCTTTATCTTTTGATACCGCCCATCAACAAGCCTCCCTCGGGACTGCAGTTGATTAGATGTATTATTTTACGACAATCTCAGAGAACCTTTAGGCAAAACAGCTTTGGAAAATCCAATGAGAGTGTCTGTTGCTGAGATACTGGGGCCTTCTCATCATGCAGAAATGTGTAATTCATATTCCTCATCAATTCTAATGTTGAGTCCCACAGTAATTTAACCTCTCAACCCAGTCTGCCTGCGTCATATCCAGAATTAAAATCTAAGCATCATTGTCCTCGCAGCTACAAAGCAGCCCCATGTGTGTGTTTGTGCTGTGATACAATTTCAAGGCTCAAGCTGTAAATGCTGAGATGCACCCTCATGATGAAAGTATGACCGTCCTTCTCAGCTCGGCGGCCCTGTCCTCTCTGTCTCTGGCCATCATTCAGCTCAACTCATCACAGGCCAGCGCCGCTCTGGCTGTCAGAGGCCGCTTCCAGGACGCCAGGAGGGAAGGGGAGCTGCAGAGGAAGCTGATAGAGAGAGCGATGTGAGTTACAGAGGGGCGATAATGTGCGAGCAGATAAATGATGGTGAAATCTGACAACTGGATTTAAATGAGGGTTGATTCTATATCCATGGACACGTAAAGATTTAAAATATAAGAGTTAAAAAAATAAACAGAAAAATCTTATTGAGTAGGTTTAAAAAGGGGCGAGTGTAAAATCACTTTTCATTAAACAACATGAGAAAAACTATAATTATTCTTGCATTTGAAGATGAAACTTAGCAGTTGGTGTAGTTGCACAGTAGAAATGTAGAAATTCATCTGAAGCACTATTGTTATTCTTTATTCTGTGATGAGTTTTTCCTGCATCAAATGTTTCCAGAAAACAACCTCAAGCAGATATGATTTTTTTCATCCTTTTAAATCAGAATCAGAACCAAGTAGGTTTTCAACATTCAAAGAATCTTCTTTGGGGTTTGGTGCCTAACAAAACAGAAGACTAGGCAGAAAGATAATGTTCACTTAAAAGCAATTATTATATAACAAAAAATATGCAATTTAATAAATATATAAGAAATGAAGGTCATTTTTTAGTAGATGTACAGTGTATTCCAGGCTGTGCAGCTCATGTGCTGTCTGTGTTTGCAGTGAATATAATCACAGTGCCCAGGACCAACAGACTTACCAAGAATGGATTAAAACCATGGAGCCAATATACAACAACATTCATAACTTCACACGGGTGAGTTTCTACTGCACATTTATTTGATTCAGTGCCTCACATTAATCAAAACCACCAAAATTAAATGCTTATTTCCCCCCCCCCCCCCAGAGACAATCGGTCATCTCTGACTCCCAGGTAACAAAATGTTCTTATTTCCATTTACTGTCCTTACACTCTGTAGTACTAAAATACTGCATTGCCCATTTTGCGTAATCTTTTTTCTGATATTTGTTCAATTCTTCTCCTGCCAGCAGTCTCTAACAGACGCTGGAGCAGCGCTGCTCTACACCATGAAGCACAGCAACAGGAAGTCCATCTCATTGAAGAACAAAGTTAAACTATAGTTACTCCCCCTTTTATCTTGTTGGAGGCAACTTAGGTCATGAGTGACAGGGATAAATAAAACTGCTGTTTGACTTAATCTGGCTGTATAAATATCCTTTAAATATTGTAAATGTATCACTGTATATCAGCTGAAAACATGCTCATCTGTGTCAATACATTTATTTGTGTGTAAGATTTCTTATATTTCCTGATCCAGTTGCACACACAAACTGCTGAGGCAGTGCACAGTGTATTTGACACCTTCCTAGTGGCAGTTTGAGCTTTTGTGTTGTCAAAAAAAAAACCCTGACTCACAAACACATTATGCAGCTCACACCGTGTTCCTTTGGTTTCAGCAAAATACATCTCACAACCCCCAACGCAACAGCCAAGATATATGTTGTGCTGATCGACTGATTGTGATGATTATTTTAATTGTGTAGTAATGAATGTGATTTATTTCCACCAAATTTGATCATGCAACAGAACTTGATAACATAAGAGCAGCTGAGCATCATTAAGAGGCGAGGCAAGTTTATTTATGAAGCACATATCATGACACAGAGGTTCATCAAAGTGCTTTACATGAAAACACATCATAAGAACAGAGCTAAAGGACTAAGAAGTGCGAGGTCCTTAAAAAACTTTAAATTCATACAATGTCACAGTCAGCTTAAGAGTCAGAGAGAAATGAATACCAGCAATTAAAAGCTGAGGTGAACAAAACAATCTATAAGCTGTTTGGGGAACATCATTCTTCATTGCAAGTGAACGCAGCATTATCATGTTTTATTTTAATTCTACAGAAACATGAGCTGAGAGGTCTGAAGGGTTCATTTTGTGGAAGCAAGTGTTTTCCTTCATCCATAAACCATTAACTAATTAATAGTAGGAACATTCATCCATCGTCTGTACTGCTTATGCTTTAAGGGTCAAGATGAGGCTGGAGCCAGTAAGAATATTTGGAAGTCAATCCTTTGAGTCATTGGAAGCCAAAGCAGAAATCTGAGAACTTGTTTAAAGTTGTATTTACCCCTGAAATTAATTGAAAGTGTAAGTATGTTTTTATAGATCTTAATAAGTTATGTATCCATTGATTCTTGCTATATTTAGGATATTGTGGCTGGTTTTGTAGTTGACTTGATGTGGGAGATGAAATCTTAGTCAATAATAAATTGAAGACAGAGAATTGTTGTTGATGTCTGCAGCTCCCCTTCCCTCCTGGTATAAATCATAATATTACAGAGGACAATGCTGCGTCCGTATTTAAAAGTGGCAAAGATAGTGAACAATGGAATAGACACAAAATAATAACGAACAAACAACAATCATGCCTGAAATAGAAGCCAAAGCATAGATGGACATGCGTTTTTCTGGTGCGGCCCTCACAACACAAACACGTAAATCAGAGCAAATGTCTGTGGAACAATTGAATGGACCATTATCCAGAGCCGGCAGGTTCCAAAACAACAGAACATAGAGGAACCAGGATTCAATCAGAATACGCAGAGTGATGCTGAACAGGTAGAAGCCCACTGTGCCTCTGTCTCTATGGAGATCAATCACAATCTGCCCTTTGGTGTCTTTGGACGCAACCTGAGCCACCTCTGTTCCCTGGCCCTGCAGCTCCATGTCTGCCTTCACCTGGCAGCTCCTCTTCTGGGCCCGGGAGCGCAGGTGAGAGGTGAACAGCTCCATGAGCATCACGGAGAAGATGGTCAGGACAAACATGAAGTTCCAGGCCACCATCATGGGTTTGTGGAAATGTCTGTTGAAGCAGGCTTTGATGCAGATGCTTTCCCCGGTGCCGTTGCAGGCAAAGTCCAAGTCCAGTTTGTGGAAGGGCAGCTCGGCCAGGAAGAGGATCACCACGCGGATGCACAGGAAGCCGAACCACACCGCGCGGCCCGTGTATGTGGTGGTGGCGTCCACTGCTGTCCGCAGGATGGGGATGAGGCCTGTTACTAACGCTGCCATAGTCACCACTGGCTCTTGTTTGGAATCTTAAAGTGGAAAGGTTGGAACAAAGAAAAACACTTCTGCTTAAATTGTGATCCTATTCATACAGTGGTGTAATGTAAGCAATTTGCTCAAGGATGGTACTTGATCACATTTTTGAGGTACTTGTACTTTCCACTTGTATTCTACACTTAAATTTTCTGAACATTTCAGAAGGAAACATTTATTTATATTTTACATTTTTCCTCATTTTGCATTTGGT